ATGATGGCAGCCAATCCACAGACACCCAGGTGTAGTGCAGGCAGAGTTCTGAATGGATTCAATCTTCCAGAAAGTGATGTGGAACTGTGTACAAGCAAAGTAAGTATCTGACCACTGAAGAAGCGCTAAATAGGGGCAGCTAGGTGGCACACCAGATAGAGCACCAGCCCCGAATTCAGGAGAACCCGAGTTCAAATCCAGTCTCAGACACATAACACTAGCTGTGTGACCATGGGCAAGTCACTTAACCCCACTGCCTAGCCCCAAAAAATGAAAAATAAAAGGGCTAAATAAATCATGGCATATTAATAGAATGGAATACTATCATGTCATGAAAAATGGAAAGGTAGTTTGTTGTACTGAATAGAGAGGCAGCTTTGAGTTAGAGACACTTGGGTTCAACTTCTATCTCAGATCCTTACTACCCATGTGACCCTGGACAGGTCACAACCTCTCTGGGCCTCAGTTTCCCTACCCCTTCAACTGTAAAATGAGAACACTGACCTAGAAGGTCCCTTGCGGTTCCAGATCTAAGGTCCTACGATCTCAGGATTTGCCATCTGAACCATACTGGTTCTGTGACCGTCGGCAAACCGTAATCCTTTAGTTCCACAGACAACTCTGCCAAACAGTTTCAGATCTGCATGGGTATACAGGCAGGTAGACGATATGGTGGAAACAGCGCTGAGCCAGGAGCCATGAATACCTGATTTAAATCCTGCCTCAGAGACTTACTAGCTGTGCAATCCTGAGCAAGGTATTTAACCTCTCTGCCTCAGTTTCCTCACCTTAAAACTGGGATAACAGCAGCAGCATCTGCCTCCCGGACTCCTTGTTAGCATAAAATGAGAATATTTATGAAGTACTTTGCAAATCTTAAAATACTACATATATAGAGATACAGACAGATAAACATACAAAGAGAAATACACATAAATATAGCTAGCTAGCATTTCTACGTCTTCATCCAGGTCATGCTAGCTAAAGGGCTCTGTCTGGGCCCTCTTCTCTTCTCCCTCTGTACTGTTTCACTTGGTGATCTCATCAGCTTCCATGGATTCAATCATCATCTCTATGTTGATCATTCTCAGATCTGCTTATCCAGTCCTAACCTTGCTTCTAACCTTCAGACTCAAATTTCCAATTGACCCCTTCTCAGAATAATGTTTTGAAATGCATGCAACAAAATAGGATTACAAGTCCTCCAGTCTGTCTCATCTCCAACTGCCTCTACTGGACATTTTGAACTAGATATTCTGTAGACATCATAAACTCAACATGTCCGAAACTGAAGTCATTACAGTTCCCCAAAAACACTCCCCTCTTCCTAACTTCCCTATTACAATTAAGGGAACCACTATCCCTCCAGTCACCCAGACTCCCAACCATCATCCTTAATGCCTCACTCTTCCTTACCCCCTATACACAATCTGTTCCCAGGCCTGTCAATTGTACCTTCATAACAACGCCTGCACCACCCCCCCACTCTTCTCAGACACTGCCACAACCTGATGCAGGCCTTCATGACCCATGTCTGGAGTAATGAAAGAGCCTTCTAGGTGGCCTCCCTGCCCTGCCTGTCCCTCCTCCACTCCATCTTCCATTCCGCTGTCAAATTAACCTGCCTAACTCACAGATCTAACCATATCATCCCCCGGCTCATTAAGCTCTAGCAGCTCCCAGTCACCTCCAGAATCAAATAGAAAAGCCTGTTTGGCATTCAAAGCTCTCCATAACCCTTACACCTAACACCCTACACCCCTTCTCCCTAGTGCTTGTGCCTTCCCTCTACTGACTATCTGATTTATCACATACACACACTCTCTCTCTCCACACATACTATTCCCATGTTGTCTCCCCAGTTTGACTGTGAGTTCCGTGAGAGGAGAGACTCTCTTTTGCCTTTCTTTGTATTCCTCGCGCTTAACACAGAGCATGGCACACTGTAGGTGCTTAATAAATGCTTACTGGCTGACTAACAATGGGAAGAAGGAGTTCCCTAAACCAATTAAATCATAGGTCTGGACAAAAAGATTACAAGGATTCAACATCATATGGCAAAGCTCTTACAAAGTGTTTTGGAGTAAAGAAAATTGAACCAAAAGGATATACTACTATTAAAGACAGTAACAGAAAGAAGACCATGTGAAATACACAGAAAACTGCACCAAAATTGAATGAGAAAACATAGCTGATATCCAGAGAGTTCAAGGAGGAGGGAGGAGGGGACGTGCCCTGAAGATTAGATCCTGGCTGTCCATTTGTCAGGGCCTCTGATTCCCAGGGTCTTATTGGGGAAGGTATGGATTGTCATAGATCTTCAACCTTTGGGGGGCTCCAAATGGGAACCCCAACACTAGTGTCTTAACGCTGGGATTAGATCCAATTTACCTTCCATTTCTGTTGTACGTATACTTGTTTGCATGTTGTCTTTCCCTAACCCCAATTAGAATGAACTGTTTTTGCCAAATTCCTTTCCAACTCTAATATCTGAAACTGCTAACTAATTGATCCCCTTTGTTTTATAGTGGGAAGGGGGAAACTGAGCTATGTAAGAAAGGGCCTTATTTGGGAAGGCCCCCTTCTCCTCCAGCTAAGTAATAACTCCTATTCAGTCCACTGGCTAATATTCATTTGGATTAAGGACTTTCTCTTTGAAAATGCAAATACCTATGAGTCATTTATAGCGTGGTGTTAATCATAAAACAGAAACAGCTACCAATTAATACATTAATTCAGCAAACATTTAATAAGGCCTACATTAGACGCAAGGTACTATGCTAAGTGTTAAGGTCACAGACATAAACATGATAGTCCTTTCACTCAAGCTTACATCCTACCTGGTAGAGCATATGATCTCATTAAGTGCTCAGCCACTGAGAGGATGGAAATTTTGATTTAAGAGAAAACATAATTTTTGGGCCTTGGATAATCTGGAGGGGAGACCTAAACCAAGTCCTTTTAGCAGGAGCCTAAAACTGGCCAGAGAATAATAAAGCAGAGAGAGGGAAGATGAACCAGGGCATGGACTGACACCAACCACGTGCAATTTTGCTGATGCTCCTTTTGGTAATTCTGTGGCCTACGTATATTGTGCATAAGCTAAACTATGGGATTCTTCACTTTCCACTGGGTGTCCTCTCTGAACTTCTCACACCTTGGAGTCTCCTCTTTCCAAAGAGCTAAATTCTGCTTAATTTTTTCCTTGGTCTTAAGAGATTTGTTGCGGTTCTAGCCAATAGAATGACCAAGGTCTTGCTTCTAGAGAAAACAGCACACAGTTCTCACCCTGTTCAGTACTTCAGCAAATACTCATCTTCCACATGCAAGGTACCATGCTAAGTGGAAGGCATAAAGATGTATCAGCAAGTCCTTGTACAAGTATCTACAAACAAGTTAGAAAGAAGGAATGTAATAAGGCTCAAAGTGCTATTCAGAGGATGGAGTTACTCAGAAGGGATCAGAGAAAACATCACAGTGGAGGAACCGGGGGAGGAAGAGAATGGGTTTGGAGGTAAGGAATGGCAAGTAGTCTACTTTATTTTAAAGGGAAATTGTGAGTAGAGTAGTGTACAGGTTAGACAAAAGTGAAGGCAGAAAGATTCGGTAGCTAACTGGTTTTCAAGCCCAGAATGCTCTTTCTTCCACTCTAATCCGTCCTCCCCTAAGTGGTCAAAGTGATTTTCCTCAAGGGCAGGTCTGACCAAGTCATCCTACTTAATAAACTCCAGCAACTCCCTATCACCTCTAGGATCAGATACAGAATTCTCTTTGGTGTTCCAAGTAAGTCCTTCATCAACTGCTTCCCCCTGTCACCTTTCTAGTCTTCTTAAACACACTCTCGGATCAGTGACTCGGCCTTGTCGCTGTTCCTCCCATAAGAAACTCCATCTCCTAACTCCCAGCACTTTCTCTGGTTGTCCCTCCTGCCTGGAATACTTTCCCGCATCTCTGTCTCCTAGCTTCCCCAGCTAATATCCCGCCTTCTAAAAGAAGCTTTCTCTTACCCACAGTAATGTCAGTGCCTTTCATCTGTTATCTCCGATTTATCCTGCCTAAGTCTTGTTCAGAAATAGCTGTGTGCGTGCTGAATAACTGTATTCTTCCACTAGAATGTAGGACCTTGGGAACAGGGATTGTCTTTGCACCGACATCCTCAGGGCCCCGCAGAATGTCTCTAACATGATTAATAAATGTTTGTTAGTCAGGCCAGGTCACTTTTCTGCTCAAAAATCTGCTATGACTTCTATGGCCTCTAGAATAAAACACAACCTCCTCAGACAGACATTTAAAGCCCATCCAAGCCTGGCTTCAGCCTGCCCTTATGGGTTACAAGCACATTCATCCCCTTCACTGAGTCTATGGTCCATTCAAGGCAGACAGCTTGCTGTTCCCCAAACCGGCCTCCCTGATTGCCCAAGCCTGGAGCACACTCGCTCTCCACCTTTACCACTTACAACCCTTGGCTTCCTTCCTTCGGCTCGAGGGCCATTTCCTAAGCTTTTCTGGGTGTCACCATCCCCCTCACCCCACTACGCCCCCATATTTCTCCTCAAATTATCTTGCATTTACATCTCTGTTCCAATGCTGAGGGCAGCACCGCTGGCCTTGGGTTCGATTCCTGCCTCTCTCACCTGTCCTGGCTGGGCACCTAAGGGCGGCATGAGTAACTCAGGCTGTCCTTCAGCTTCTGCCTGAAGCCGGCTCAGCTCATGCTCGGTACACGTGCCCCACGGTAGCCTGATGCTGCGCTCGAGGACAGGGGCGGTTTTTCCTTTAGTCCTCGTGGTCTCAAAGGTGATCGGAAGGAGAACGGCCCCTTACAAAGTATCTGATCACAGAATCCGTCCGGTCGAACGAAGGCTCCGAGGCGGAGAAGGAAGACGTGGGCCCCGGCCCCTCGGCCGCACCGCCACCGCCGCCCGCCCGCTCCCGCCGGCTCCGCACCGACCTCGGGCGCCGAAGGCCGCAGCGGGGTGGAGGGTGTTGTGACGTCATCTCCCCGCGCCGCGGCCGCCCCCCCCTTCACTACGCGCCGGTCGCTGGCGAAACCCGCCCTCCTCACCGGCCTCCGTCCGCTTCCCTGCCTCGCGCCCAGGTTCCGCCATGGAATCCAATAAAGATGAAGCCGAGCGCTGTATCGCCATCGCCCTCAGCGCCATCAAGAGCCGCCAACCCGAGCGGGCACTGCGCTTCCTGGAGAAGGCACAGAGGCTTTACCCGACGCCAAGAGTGCGCGGTGAGTGTCCGGCGCTGCCGACCGGGAAAGCAGGCGGTCAGGGGCCGGGGCACGGTGGAGGGGGATGAGGGACGCGAGGAAAGGGGAACGGACCGAGAGAAATGACTGAAGGGGCTGGGGGAGGGGGTCAGAGACAGCAAGGCCCGTTCGCGCCTGCGCACTCGTGTGCGCAGGAGGCTGCTGGGACCTGTAGTCCGCCGACTCAGCTACTTCGGAATCAGCTACGGTTGGAAAACTGAGATGGAGGGGAAGGGTCTGTCGCTTGACTGTGCGCGCGGAGCATCTCGGGACATGAAGTTCCCGCGGAGTGAGGCTGGCGCTCCCTGGGATGTCATGGGGTGAGGGGGCGGGGTCAAGGAGGCGAAGCCGAACTACACTTCCCAGAGGGCAGCGCGGCGGATGGGTGCTAGTTCCTGGCTTGGGAAAGGAGTTAATTATCATGCTAGCATCGAGAAATAAACCAACGTCTTTGGGGGTGGGAGGAGTTGGGCCCCGGCCTCAGGAAAGGCGTCCCCCACCCCCAGCCCAGCCACCTTAGCCCTGACACCTGCGGGCAGGCCCAGGGCCGGGCCATTTGCTAGCGCCCCCAACCCCACCCCGACTCAATTGAGACTCCCCAGTTTATCCTACCTGGGGCTTGTTTGTGCGTTGTTTGCCTGCTATCTCTTCCTCTCCAAGGCTGTGTGCTCCTTGAGAGCAGGGGCTGGCTTGCTTTTCTTTGTATCCCCGAGATTTAGCACTTGCACATAGTAGGCACTTAATAAATACTTATTGACTGACTATGAAATCCACAGACTCAACCCTTATCGTCCCAACCGCTGGCCTGCTGGAAACCACTATCCAGGAGAAGGCCGTGTAAGGGCAAGCGTTGGAAGCCTGGTGGCTAAATGGTCAGAGAAGCTGTGAGTGAGTTGGGGGAGGAAGCTAGTGACCCTCTAGGAAGAAGTTGAATTTAGAAATGGGCAGCAGAGGGATAGAGGTAAAAGCTTTACCCTCACCTGTGCTTACGTTTTTCTCTTCAACCTAAACTTTCAAATGCCACAGTGGTCCCCAAGACATGCTAAAAGTCTTAAAGGGGACATCCTGCAGGATGGAATAGATTCTCCATGGAAGGTTTATGGGAGGACGTGGACAAGTAATGGTGGTACGGGATGAGATGGGTTTGATGTGTACTCTGATGAAGGAGGAAGCCCTACAGTAATTAGATGATGGCTCCTTGAAAGTATCAGGTATAAAGTTTCAAAGTTTACTGTTCTGTTAGTGTAAGCCTTACATCCAGAAATCGACCCCGTCAGAAGGCCCAGGATCTGTGCCTGGAAAATGTCAAGCTACCCTTAGTCTAGGAACTCTCCCCTCACCTATCAACAATCGGGAAAGAAATTTGGCAGCAGAGAGGCATCGGGCTTCTGGACTTTCCTCTCTTTGTCATACTTGTGCGAGTTGACCTTTAGCCTGCTTACTCTCTTCTTGGGAGTCTGCCCCCAGCCAGTCTACTGAAAACCTAGAGGGACCTGCTCTAGGAAGCTCTATGTGAAATGGGTCAAACAGTCAAAAGCTAGACTTGATTCAGTTAAGTCCTGTGTCAGCGAAAGAGCTGGACCAGATTAAAATGTAAGTTGGAAATATTTAACAAAATTAATTAAAATATAGTAAAAACATAGATAATATTAATAGGTGTTTTTCTAAGTCAATATGGGGCCCACAGGGATCCTTACATATGATTTAGTAGCCCCCACTGACCTGGTGGTGATGCTATTGTCCTCTAAAATGCTGTAACCTGTCCTGCATGCACTAGTGACTGGAGTGGGAAAAAAAAAAACCCAGAACAGAAGTAGTCTGTCTGTTGTGGGGGTGACTGCTCATTTGCTGTCCTTCTTAGAAGGTATGCAAGGGGAGTCTCAGCAGCTTGGAGCACCAGCCTCTGAAAAGCTGTTACAGAGACCAGCTCTCTCCTCACTGTGTTTGTCCCCCAGCCAGCAGCACAAGTGGGCTTTTCTCAGATTCAATCAGTGGGCCATTGTGATACCACGATGCAGGTTTAAGTTGGCTTACGCTGAAAAGACAGATTGTAATCCAAGCCTCCTCTGTAGCTCCCAGCCTCTCATATAGCTTTACACTGAGTTGGCAAGTGTGTGTAAGGCAGTCTTGACCTGTGGCAGAAAATTCTTGGCCAAAGAAAGCTGAAATTATGAAATACCACACATTTGAATACCTATAGAAACTTTATGGGTAAAAGAATATTAGCACTCTTTATAGAAGTCTATCGAGTATTAATCCAGCTTTTTTCAGAACAGGTGTGTAGATGAGTATAGATGAGCCCCAGAAGGACACCACAGTGAGGGGGCAGAGTTCTCTTCTATTCAGGAACTGACCCTCCCCCTCATTTCAGTTGCTGCTTCCTCCAACTGTTGGAGTTGTTTCTCTCTTTCATGACCCTGACCTTTTTTCTTCCGCTTCTTTTTTTTAATGTCAGACAACCCTATAGTGAGACCCATAGGGAAAGAGGGAGAGAGCCCCAGAATTACTGATGTCCTTCCTGCTGAGTGCCAGTTCATTATAACAGTTTCAGAGAGTGGGGTGGGGGGAGGCTTAGACATATCTGCTCAGGGCAGTAGGCCTTTTTATGATACATTTAATCCACACAAATGAAGGCACTTCATCTGAGATACCCAGGAAGGAGCATGAGAAAGGGGACAGGGAAGAGGGGGAGAATACATCAAAACTGCAGTCACTAGAGAGATTGGGATACACTGACTTTGTCGGAGACAGCCATCCAGGGACAGCTCGGATTGAGGGAGATGATCTTGCAGGCCATCACAAGAGGAGGAATGGCTCAGATCCCAGCTCTGGCCTTTGCTTTATGAACATTACATGTTTGGTGTAGGGAAACACCTGGGATCCAAAACAAGAGGGCTGCTCAGGAATAGGAAAGAGAACAAGTTCTATGGGAACGATTCAGGACTTTTCCAGGCACTCATGATTGGTGTCCCACATAACTCGACAGTTATTGAAGATGCATGGGGCAAGGAAATTTTCATAGAGGTTTCAGAGAAAGGGCAGGGTAGGGATACCAAGCAGTTGGGTGGTAGGTGTCTCAAACAGACGCAGTCTATTTAAATAAAGGATAGGCTGAAAAAACAAAAATCAAGCACAGCTTTCTGGACTACTGAAACATATCCCCTCAGCTAGTACGATCCAATGGTTCTGCTGTCACTGAGTCACAAGAAACCTCCATTAAATATTTCCTCCATCTCCTGGGGAAGCAAGAAACATGCTTTCCCCAAGTGCCAGTGTCCCTGGGGCCAAGGACCCAGTGCAGGCCTTGCCTTCAGAACTGGGCTTTGGGGAATCTGAGGCATCCATGGCTTATGCCGTGGGTGTCCTCAATGCAGGAAGTGAGTCAGGGAGTGTTTGGCATGTGCAGGACGCATAGTGGTGCCAAGAGCTCAGGAACAGCTCCAGCATCCTGGCTACAGACTCTCTTGGGTAACTTTGCCTTATCACCTGGGCCCTCAAGAGCATTGATCTAAAATGCTTCCAGAGAAACTGAGGATTGGAGACGATGTGGGCAAATGAGAGGGGAATAGACAGAAGAAAGACTGCCTGCTATACTAATCAGTCAGCAGGTGCCAGGCACTTGTGATAGGACAGGACCTGGCTAAGTGTGGGGGCTCAAAGGCACTGTCCTCAAGCACCTTACCTTCGAATAAAGCAGCTCACAGATAGAACTTGCTTGGAATTAAGAAATCTGATTTTCATTCCTGGCTGTTCTGTGACTAAGCTGTGAGAGGGAACAAGTCTATTTCTACATGCCCTCTGCTTTTGTTATGTGGGGAGAATGGTTGACAACATGTAAGGGTGCTAACACACTTAAATGTTTCATGCAAGAGGCATTCTTTTTGTTTGTTTGTCTGTTTTGTTGTTTTAGGCAGTTGAGGTTAAGTGACTTGCCAAGGGTCACACAGCTAGTAAGTGTCAAGTGTGTGTGTGGTCTGAGGCTAGATTTGAACTCAGGTCCTCCTGACTTCAGGGCCAGTGCTCTATCCACTCTGCCACCTAGCTGCCCCCAATATTTATTAAGTGTCAGGCTATTAAGCATTCTGAGTGTTCACTGGCTCACAGCACCGCTTTCTTTTTGCCACCTTATGACACAGTAAGGCACAGCAGCCTCAACTGTAACACCTCCACTTAGAGGAGCCTCCCGGCCCTTCTTCTCAACACTTGAACACGGTGCAGTCAGTCACAAGGCAGGGAACCATCCTCAGTATCCTCAGATCTCTGTCCTTGAACAAGACAGTTTCTATCCCAGGTAGCTGGGACTATGGCCATAACTTAGGGCTTACAACTGAGAGAAAGTTTAGAGCCTGAACCTTGTTCAGCTGCTCCCATTTTCACCTCTCCCTTCTGAGGTGGACTGCCAGACAGCCTCCCTCCAGGAGCTGCTCCTCCGCCTCCCCCTCCCCCTCCCCAGCCTGGACAGAGGCAGCCTAGGGTGAGTCTATTTGTATTTCCCAACTGCTGACTCAGGTCATGTGTACCGAGACCGAGGCAGTGATTGCCTCACAGAGGAATGATATACTTGAGGGAAAGAGCTCCATTCAGCAAGGCCCCTTTCAACTCTCAAAGCAGAGAGTGTAGGTGGCAGTAAATGCCCAGAAAGGTTCCCTTTTCCCAGCCCAGAGATGTTCGGGGTCCCTGGGTCTTCATACCCCAGAATGACAAAATGACAAAAAATAGTCCTTGGACACAAAGAACCTGTATTTTATTGGGGGGGGCGGCATAAGGGAGAGGTGCATGGATAAGCTAAGACAATATAATTTATAAGGGAGAGAGCTCTAACAAGTCAAGAGGAGATGAAGAAGACTTAAAATAAAAGATGAGGCTTGAATTGAGCCCTGAATAAAGGAAGATTAAGAATTCTGATGAGGCAACTAGGTGGCCCAGTGGATAGAGCACCAGCCCTGAAGTCAGGAGGACCTGAGTTCAAATCCGGCCTCAGACCAACCACTTGACATTTATCAGCTGTGTGACCCTGGGCAAGTCACTTAACCCCAATTGCCTAAAAAAAAAAAAGAATTCTGATAGGTAGAAATGAATATTATGTTCTAGGCATAAAAAAGGGACAAAAACAGATGGAATATGGAGATAGGGAAACAGCTAGTAGTCCAGTCTGGAGCCCCAGCTTGAAACATCCTTTTTTTTTTTTATCAACAATCACTTCCATATGTTTTTGAGTTTAGAATTTTCCCCCCTCCCTCCCCATCATCCTCCCCAACACGGCGCACGATCTGATATAGGCTATACATATACATTCTTATTAAACATATTTTCACATTAGCAATGTAAGTAAGAATTAGAACCAATAGGAGGAACCATCAGAAAGAGGAAACAAAACTCAACAGAAGAGGGGAAAAAAAGCAAACAGTATGCTTCAATCTGCATTCAAACTCCACAGTTCTTTCTTTGGGTGTGGACAGCGTTTTCCATCATGAGGCCTTTGGAGATGTCTTAGATCCTTGTATTGCTGAGAAGGGTTAAGTCTGTCAATGTCAGTCATCGTACAACGTGGCTGTCACTGTGTACAACATTGAAACATCCTCTTCTGCCATGCGGGTCCCACTAGGCTTTGCTGTCTGCTTTTGTGCCCTCTGCTTTCCCCTGCCCTCAGCTGGCACTGCCTGCAGCCGACTGAAGCTGGCTTAGGCAGTATGCCCTGGAGCCTGGATACACATCTCAGCTCTGCCTCATCTGTAAAAAAGCAGGACTGGGCGACACAGTCTCTTAAGTGCCCTTCCAGCCATCCACATTAGCCATAGGGTCCTCTCTGACCTCCTGGCATGGAAGAGTATTGCAGCTCTCCCTTACAAAGTGTGCAGCAGAAGCAGTGTTAAACCAGTGCCAGGCTTAGGGTTGAAGCCTCTCTCTCACACAGACACTAAGCCTCCTATGAGCAGGGCCATAGCCCTTCCCACCTTGATACACCCTCTGTTTTGCACTCCCTTCTCAACTATACAAAAGCCAGCAGTATATTCTATCTAGGAGAATACTTTGCATGGAGGAGCCAGCCCTAATGGTGGATGCCAGACCAGTTTTTCAGTGTTTTGTTTTCTTCCTGCCCTCTCTCCGCAATCCACCCACCCCACCTCCAAAAGCCCCATATTGTTTCTCAACTTTATGTCACAACTGGGATTAAAGTGACTAAGGGCTTGAAACAAGAGGACCTTTGTAAAGAATCCAAGTGAAAGCTAAACACATTTGTCCACTGATCTCCCTGAACCATATCCAGGCAGGAAAGAAGTAAAAAGAGTAGAAAAAAAATGAGAGAGAAAGGCAAAAAAACAAACAAACAAAAACAAAAAACCCACCAAGTTTGAAAGATGAAAAACCCAAGGAGAGACCAGAAAGTTGTAGAACAAATAGCTTTCATTGTGATGCTGGGTGAAAGAACTGTAGCCAGTTTCCAGATTGGCTGCAGTTGAACCCTTTGGTGCATCCATTTCAGTAGGATTAAGAAGGCAGAAACCTACTGATCTCATTTAAGTACTTTCTATTTGTTACATTTTGGTTAAAAATTAAATTTTCGGCTGTGAAAGGCTTGTAAAGAAGTGAAGCAGTTTTCTACTCCATCTACTGCTCCACAGTATTCCATTCTACTGCACACGCCTTTTTTTCCTTTCCCTTTGCTATGCTAATTCTACAAGGGTACAAGGAGCAGAGCCCAAATCAGAGAGAAAGCAGTGGAAGTTATGAAGTCCAAGAACATCCCCCTGCTCCCTGTGGCCACAGCCTGTTCAGAACGGTGTTTGTGGTGTTTCTGACTTTTCAAATTGTCATAACAGTAAAAGTCAAGTGGACCCATAAGGAGTTTGAACTAGGATTGTGCTACAAATTCTGGAGGCTAGGGTGAAATTGATGGGTGCCTGGGATTTACCAAACTGGAGTCAAATGATTGGTTTTTTTGGCAACACATCTGAAGGAGGAGAGATTCCTGTTCTAGAAGGCATCCACATAAGGAAGAAGCCTTATTTCACTTTGGGGGTTGAGAAGTGGTTTTAGGAATAACAATAACCTTCCAGTCACTTCTATAAGTGGTCCAGGTAGAGTGGAATCACTCTTGATCATTCAGCTGTCACCGTGGAATTGCATTTTTGTTTGAAAGCGCCTCAATTCCTCAAAGAGTGAACAGACCCCATACACATTGACCTACCACCAAGGGGTAGGTCTGGGCAGCTTCTATTCTAGTCTTCCTTACTCGGTACTGAGACTGTGCTGAGTGGAATGGAGCCAAACCTGCAGGAATGAGCCTCTGGACCTTCTCAGGGCCACCCTCTTACTCACTGGTCCCTGTGCCTGGGAACATAAAGAGAGCAAGCTGTAGGTTGCAAGAGATGGAGTTCCACAAAATCTTGACACTTTTTTCTTTCTCTGCTTTGCTCAGCATTGATTGAATCCCTCACCCAGAATGGACAGACATCTCATGGCCAGGCCAAGCCAAAAGACACAGCCAGTTCTCACCGGAAAACAGGTGGGGGAGAAACCCCTTCTGCCAACGGTGAGGCTGGAGGAGAGGGTACAAAAGGCTACACACAGGACCAGATGGAAGCTGTGAAAAGGTGGGGAGCACGGCTGGGCAGCCCAGTGCCATTGGTAATGGCCTTCACACTTGTGAAGGAGCCTTCTTGCATTGTTTCCTGACTCAAAGCCTCAGTGTCCAATGTCCAGTTGGGTGTAGAGGATGGGACCCAATAAAATAGCTACAGAATCATACGACCATAATCACTTCCCAAGAACCTTTGGTAGGTCCATGGAACATGAATTAAAAACCCTTCTATGACTATCTGAATGCACAGCTCAGTCCAGATGAGCCCCTGATTGGGGGTGACCCATAACAGACATTGACTAAAATCAAATAAATCCCCTTTAGCTCCTCCCAAGTCCCTTGTGTCTCACGCAGCCATCCCCCTGCTGGGTCAATCTGGACCTATTCAGGCATCTCTACCAGAACTGGAGGAGGCTCAATCTCTCCACTCCTCTCCCCTCCACCCCTACTTCCCTACCTTCCTCCTTTCCCCCTCCACGAGCCAACGTAAGTCCTCTTCTGTTAGGGTAGAGTCAGAACCAGGAAGCAGTGCAGAAGCAGGAGGATGGAGTCAGAAGACCCGAGTTCAAATCCCAGCCCTTTCTGTGGCCTTGGGCAAATTCTGTAACCTCTCTGAGCCTCTCTTCATCCATCGAATGAAGACGATGACACTTATGTGCTTTACTCCACAGGGTTGTGAGGATTAAGTGAGATCACAGAGATAAAATGCTATGTTTTCTGTGAAGTAAGGATTCTCTATGAATGTGATATTTTACTGTTTGGTGGGATGAGAGGTAGATTAGGGGGCCTGCAAGGCTCAATTCATTGCCCAGCTCGGCATTAACAAGCAAACATTCCTGGAAGAGACCATCCTGTGGTAGGTCCTCGCGCCCGCCACCACCAATCAGCTTCGTCCTGTTCACCCCAGATTTCCCTTCACTTATCCGTGTGCAGTGGGTGGTAGAAGCCTAGTTCAGAATTCCAGGCCAGGATTAAAATTCCCTTCCAAATTAAAATTTCTACTCAAAACAGCCTCTTAAACCCTGAGGCTTGAGGTCTGAGCTATTCACCCGGCCTGTGATTTACCATTGTTTAGTGTGTTGGAATTTTAGGTTTTTTAGGCATAGACTAGGTAAATGTTTAGGGTTTTCTTTGTGACTGCATCAGCTCCTTTGACTTTAAAGAAAAGTTGGCACCCTTCCCCCCTGCCCATGTGTGAAGAGAGGTGGTTGGGGTGGGCCCTCTAACCCTCACTGACAGACCTGTCTCTCCAGGAAGTGGTGTAGGAAAAGTGATCTTCACAACCCATCTATCTCCCTTCTCTTCTCCAGGGTGAAGCAGTGTAAAGACTACTATGAGATCCTGGGTGTGAGCAGAGAAGCTTCGGAAGAGGACCTGAAGAAGGCCTACCGAAAACTGGCCCTCAAATTTCACCCGGACAAGAACCATGCCCCTGGTGCCACAGAGGCTTTTAAAGGTGAGGACTCATTTTTCTAAGATTATTACGGCATTTTGATGGACCTTACTGAGTAATTTGATTCCACATCCATGAAGTACCTACTGTGTACAGTATTTGGGAGGCATACAGAGTTTGTGTGAGACACAGTTCCTGCCCTGCCCTCACGGAGCTTAATCTAGGAGGTAGATAGAATGTCCCCCCTCCAGGGATCCTTTCCTGATCCTCTCCCTTTGGGATGCTGTGTCTGACATTTACATATTCCCATAGTAAGTGCATCCAAAGCGGGATGGCATAGCCCACAGCTCTGGGAGTCTTCAGGGTGGGAGTTTTCCCCAAACTGAGAGGAACATGGAGAGTTTCCTGGAGGGGGTGACATTTGAGTTGGGTTTTACAGAACATTCTGTCCATAGGAAAGGCACAAATTGTGGGCATTTAACAAGTGGAGCAAAGAACATCTGTAGGAGAGGCCCAAGATGCACCCAGACAGGCAGCGTGGCCCCAGATTGTAGAGGGCCAGTGTGGCGAGAGGGGACCATCATGGACTTTGAGAAGAGTGACATGACCAGAGAGCTAAACGTAAAGGACACAAGCCTAGCCACTGAGAGCCTATGGGTGGGAGAGAGCGGAGGTGTGAAAACCCAACTGAATGAGGAGGAGGACAGTAGCTGTGGTAGAGAAGGCAGAACTAACAGGACTAACTAACTGGATTTGAGAAAGGAAAGGAAGTAAAAGAAGAATCGAAGAGAACACCAGTTTTCAGTTGAATGGCGGTACATGGAAGTCACATTATCTTTTAGGCACTTAGAGATGTAGGTGCAGATTAGGGATTCTTAACCTGAGGTCTGTGAACTATTGTGGTTTTTTTATAGGTATTTTGATGTTACTTATTTCAATATAATTAGTTTCCTTTGAAATCCAATTTCATTTTATGCATTTAAACACATAAATCGAACACATTGGCCGTACCAGACTGCCCTGAGGGTCTATAGCACAAAAAAATGTTAAGAACCCCCGATCTGGAGCTTAGAGAGCTGGAAGTGTAGATTTGGGATTCAAGAGCCCATCAGTGTGATAAAGGTGGAGAGGAAGAAAAGAAGACCAGGGGCAGAACTTTGAGTGGCACCATTCCCTAAGGGCTGGGGTGGAAGAAGAGGAGCTGCTGAAGAAGACGGTCAAGGAGCAGTTAGAGAAGAAGCAGAAAATGGCCAAAGGCAATAGACTGTGGCCGGGAAGAGGAGAACTGAAGAAAAGGGCATTTGATTTGTTGACTGGTCACTGGGTCACCTTAGAGGAGGGAGATGGCATCCAGACAACAAGGGGTTAAGCAGAGATGGCAAAGAAGCAGAGTTCCAGAGGGCCACTGAAAAGGGACCACCCAAACCACCCAATTCTATCCCCTTCTGAAGAGGCGTCTGCCCACGCCAGGTGGAGAGCCAGTGGCCAGACTTGGGAGCAGGGCCAAATGGCATAAAGTGTTGCTGAGAGAGGCAGTGTTCTCTGGTGGGGAGAGGGCAGGCGTCAGTCAGGAGGACCTGGGTTCGAGTTTCACGTCTGACGTGAACATGGACAGGTCCCTAACTTCTCTGTGCTCCAGGCAGCTCTCTAGGGCTCTAAGCTGTGGAACCTGGCCAGTCAGCCCTGAGAAAGGGGGCTTCCTTACACTGGTGAAATTATTGGTCTGGACCGCACGACTTGCATGATGAACACGTAGAGAGGAAAAGTGATCCTTGCCCACCTCCTTATCAGCCAAAGCCTTAACTCTTCTGGGCTGAGAGTCATCCTGAACAAACAGTCCCCTGACCTCTCAGGCCCAGGACTGTCTCAGCTGTCAGCTCTCTCCCTCTCTTCCAGGTCAAGCTTGGCCCCTGCAACATCATATCTGATCTTAAGCAATCCCTTGAGCTAAAGGCTGAGGCTGCAGTTGTGGGGCCAAGCCAGAGGCATCAGGCAAAGGGCGCATTACCAACTTCCACTGGGTTGTCTGAGCCCTAAGGCCATTGAATTGGTTGGTCCTCCAGAGTACTCAGACAGCGTTTACTGTCCCGGTCCCAGAGAAGGCAAAGGGAGCGTGCCAGACCGAGGCTGCCATTTTGTAGATGTTTCTCCGCCATTGCTGTCTTTCACTGATGCCTTAGCAGCCATTTTCTCAGGCCCAGTTTGTCATCTTGTCCTGGTCACCATTTCTCCAGTGACGACAGCCCTTCGAGCCTCCCGGAGTAGGATTGCCATCTGACTTGACCACCTTCCAAGTTCCAGAGTACATTTCTTTAAGGAGTGGAAGTAGCAGTAAGGGAAGGATAGAGAAGCTTGGTGCACGCTGGGTTCAAAGACTCTCAGGAGGCCCTTTGATTGCTTCCCCAAGTCAGTTAGGAGGATGCTTTGCCTTAGAAATGCTGAAACTGAGGCAAAGAAAGAGGATGTTGCATCCCAAAGGACACAGGTGTCAGGGTCCGAGTTGGGGATAGGACCCAGGAATCCTGGTGCCCAAGGCGTTTTCCATCAGCTCCCAGAGGTTCCTAGCTTGTTTCTGGAGTTGCTTCTGTGTTTCAAGGGAAGCTCAAGATTCCTTCCTAAACGTGCCCCCCTGTTGTAGGTGCTTCTATAGAAAAAGATGGTGCTTCTTACCTAGTAGGGGTGCAGTTTGTTGGATTAGATTGACACCCTTTGGAACCTCCCCTGAAATCTTTGGGTTCCTCTTCCTCCAAGAGCTTCAGCCTTCGGGTATGTTCTACCTGAGGCTCAGCCTTTCACCAGAGGCTGCAAAAATAAAATGCAGTGTCCCTGTGGCATTTACTTGTATGCTGAACTAGGGTTCCAGGCAGCCTCTTCTCCCACCCCCAGCCTCCTCAAGGCATCACTTCAACACACTGTGGACTGCCGAGCTTCCTTCCTATTCACCTTTTCCAGTCTCTTTATTTGTCCCTAGGGACTAGCATCTTGGGGTCCCTGCCAGCCTCGTAGCACTCCCTGACATTTCCTCTCCTTTGCAGCCATCGGTACCGCATACGCTGTGCTGAGCAACTCTGAAAAGAGGAGACGGTACGACCAATTTGGGGACGAAAAGAGCCAGGCTGCCGCGCAGGGCCAGGGCCATGGGGACTTACACCGTGGCTTCGAAGCTGACATCTCTCCCGAGGACCTCTTCAACATGTTCTTTGGCGGTGGCTTTCCTTCCAGTAAGGCCCCTCTCCTTCCTCTTTGTGCTGTTGCCCCCCTCTCCCTCCACAGCCTCGGGGCCTGACCAGTCTCCCTCTGGCCCCCAGGTAACATCCATGTCTACAGCAATGGCCGCATGAGGTACACCTACCACCAAAGGCCTGACCGCCGGGAGAACCAGGGTGATGTGAGTGAAGCCTGGGCAAGGGAAGCGTGAGCAGAGAGGACAGAAGAGGGGGCTACATTCAGGGCCTCACTGGCCACGGGGCCTAGAACCTGCCATGGGTTCCCCCAGGGCGATCACACCAGCCCTTGGGGCATAGGCTGCTGCGGGTGGCTCCTGCCAGCATTGCCGGCTTTCGAACACTAGAGGGAGACACACTCCGCTCCTCTTCTCTTCCAGAGCAAAGTGTTGCGGATCTGGGACTGAGGTTTAGGTGCCTATTCCTGGAGTGGCCACTGGTAGCCCACATCTACCAGCCCCACTTCCAGCCTCCCCTGTATGGTCAGGTGACACATACCCACCCCTCCCCCCCCACCTTCCTGTCAGTCAGCAAGCGTGTATTTAGCACCTACTAAGTGCCAGAGGGAAAGAGGCTGGCCACTGCCAGAAACCCCCATATGGGACTGCTTCCTTGGGGATTGGGTATCCGATCAACTTCTAACTTGGCTTCCAGACTGACTGTGTGTTTCTTCCTCCAAGGGTGGTCTCGGGCTGTTTGTCCAGCTGATGCCCATCCTCATCCTGATAATTGTGTCAGCACTCAGCCAGATGATGGTGTCCAGCCCACCATACAGTCTCAGCCACAGACCGTTAGTACCCAGAACTCTCCAGCCCTCTTCTGTCTGGGGCAGTGTGGGAATCGTGCGAGGTGGGATGGCAAGGGCTCGGCTCAGTAGCAGCTCATTCCTCCTCCTAACTAACCAGTTGTTCTTCTTTCTCCTGCACTTTTTTATTTTCTTGATGGTATAGAGGATAGGATCAGTTTCTTCCCTGATTAGGATCTCACCTGCTCATGGCCCACTTGAATAGGTTCTGGAATGTAACACAAGAAACTGGTCTAAACATCAAGAGAATCAGTTCTTTCCCATTGAAGTACCTCCAGGAAAGGTGCTTGCTTGATTTTTCAGTAAATGGGAGAACTTCTGCTAGCAGGGGGGTGAGAGGGCCTCGTCTGGCCCGCTCCTGTGCTTCCCAGAGTCTTCATTCCTCTGTTCCAGAGATGTGTAACTTTTCTCTGTTGGGGGCGGGCTGACAGTCTGCAGCAGAATGTAAATATAGGTAGCGGCCCTATCAGAAGAGATGTCCTCTGTTTAAGGGTTCCTTTTGCTTCTTGTCGAGCCAGGGATTTTGAGAGTTGTTGGAAGGGATGACCCAAAAGGTCACCTCGGCTGACCTCTTCCTTGTTCTACAGAGCTCTTTGATACTAGATTCTGAGCAACTTGAAGTCATGGCCTTTGTCTCTAATTCCTCCCTGTATCCTACTGACGTCTCTTTCCCCATAAACCCCCACAAACATATACACATATGCCATACCAACATACCTAGTACAGTTCTGGATATACAGCAGGCACCCCAAATAGTCTTCAGATCAGTAAAGGAGCTGAGTGACTTGCCTGCAAAGATGGCAGCAGGGCCAGGACCAGAGCTGAAGTCTCCTGGCTTCTCTTCCGCCACTGCCCCCTTCCCCAGATTCCCTGAGCCAGAGCCCCCTGGACCAGCAAGCTCAAGGTCCTGTTTAATCATGGGAAGACACACAAAGGTTGAAGTTCTGACTTAGGTATAGGAACACCTGTTCTTGGCTCTCAGCTTACACTGTGCTGTGTCTATGTCTGCGGCAGGTCAGTGGGGCACATCCACAAGCGGTTGACTGAGCACCTCAAAGTGCCATACTATGTATCAGATAACTTTGGGGAAGAGTTCACTGGTTCCAGCTTAAAGACAGTAGAACGGAATGTGGAAGACGACTACGTAGCCAACCTCCGAAATAATTGCTGGAAAGAGAAGCAGCAGAGTGAGTGGGGATGCCAGGAGGGCCCTTGTGGCTGGACCTGGGCGAGGAGGAAGCCAGCCTCCTGTGCCCTGGCCCTCTGCTGTGCCCCTGCAGCCTGGCATTTCAGAGCTAGGGCTCAGGGATGATCTCCCCAGAATCACAGAGGGCTGGGAATGCTTTCCTCTGGTGATGTTGTAAAGTCTGGGTGTTCTAGTCACCTTCAAAAAGTTTCTTTTCCCCTCTTCCTTCCCCTGACATGCCCCGGAGTTTTGAGGTCCCTCAATGACCCTTACTATGCTTCTTAGCTCCAGGGGTAGCAAATATATATATGCCAGTGACAGCAAGCAGCACATCTGACCAGCCTCCTTAGTTTACCTCCAAGTGATCTTTAAATTTGGTGTCACAAGGTACCTGCCATCACTTCTTCAGGGGCTGTCCTAGCCAGGCTGTCCTCTTGGTCATGGCCTCCTGCCAAGCTAGCCAGAGAAGCCAATCCCTTCTGACCTTTTAGATCTTAAACCAGGTATGACCCTGAGGCTACCTCAGTTGTTGTCCTGGTCTCCTGTTCTTCTGATTCCCCCACCCCGACCCTCCAAATTACTGGCCTGGGAAAAGAGCGGATCACTGCACTTTGGACTTCTAACATCTGTTCTTTTTTGCAGAAGAAAGTTTACTCTATCGGGCCCGTTACTTTGGAGATACGAGTCTGTATCACAAAGCACAGAGGATGGGCACCCCAAGCTGTAACAGATTGTCAGAGGTGCAGGCCTCTCTGCATGGATAGTCAACGTCAGACCACCCTGCTGAGGTCCAAGTATGAGCCGAAGCCACCCCTTTGGGTTTGATTGATGGAACTTACTGTACTTTAGGCATCCATGGGGAAGTGGGGCTACACTCTCCAGAGCCATGTCTACAGGCCTGGGCCTCTGGTAACCAGAAGCAAGGGGTGGGATGGGGTGGGAGGGTGGCTAGAGGGGAGGACACGGGAGAAACAGCACCAGAAGCTGACCATAAGAACCCCTGAGGAGAAGTCCCAATAACCCCCATCCATCCTCAAATGGAGTTGGATTGGGGGGCACATTCAGAGTCAAGCCCAAGGATTTGCCCAAAAGAAAACTCCATTTGAGGACCAAACCTGAACTCCAGGCTCTGGTCACAGGCATTTGCCCCCATGGATTCCTGTGCCATAGGGGCTTCCTGGTGGAGTTGAACTCAGGAAACTGGAGGCCCCCCTCTCTCCAGGCTCCAGCTGATGGATTTATGTTTGCCTTCCTTTCTAACTGATGTGCTCGTGCCACCACCTCCCCAATGGTAGGGCATCACCTTCCCTGCTCCCTGCCTCTCTCCTCTCCGAATGCTTATAGAGCCTGATGGTGGCTACGTTAGGTCACCAGTGATAACTGGGCCTCTGGCCGTTGGGTCAGGGCTCCAGCTACCCAGGCTCCTGGGAAAGGCTCTAGGAAGAATGGTGAGTAGATGGAGCTGGGCACAGGGCTCTTTCCCTTCCTTTCCCCATCCCAGCAAGAAACCTTTCTCCTGAGAAAACCTACAGGCGAAACAGAAATTTCAGTGCCCAGGAGGGGGCAGGCAGGCAACAGGGGAACAAGGAGGAGGGAGAAAGAAGGCTTCTGAGAGTCCGGCCTCTTAGGGGCACGGGGCTGTCTTTGACTGCCTTCCACACCTGGCACCTCAGCTAGCACAGAGAGTGTGGGCATCGCTCCAGCATCTTCACCCCTGCCTGCTCCTTTCAGGCTGTGGTCTGAGGAAAGGAACAGAATGTCAGAGGTTCAGGGTCAAATTCAGTGCAGGCTGTTGAATGAAAACCGTTACTGCCCAGCCTGTGGCCAGCCATCTGCCTGCCTCTACCTCTCTCTGCTTTCTAGGGCTCCAGCAGCTTGGGCAGATAGGAAAGGTGGACCTCAGATGGGCCTCCCTGGAGGCCAGCAGCTCCGGCCAGCGGGGTGGGCACCTCCCCTCCCCTCCCAAGAAGCAGCTCCTCCTGCAGAATGAGCTGTGGGGGTGGCGGCAGCTTAGCTTAGCTGTGGAGCTATGGGGTGGGTGTGTGTGTGTGTGTGTGTGTGTGTGTGTGTGTGTGTGTGTATGCGTGCAGAATGCTACAGGCCAGCTGTTTTGTGTGGTTGCCAAGCTAACACAATTACCACTTTCATCCTCAGACTATGAAAAATACCTGGAGCATTTTTGGTGAAGTGCACTGAGCCAAGGTGATGGACATTATATTTAAGGAGCAAAAACCTTAAATTAAAGTGGAATTGGAGGATGAGCAATGCACAACTGCCCTCTCTCTCACCCAGTAAACACAGAAAGCCCTTAGGACAGGAAAGCCCAGCCACTGAGCTTCTCTCTTCTTCCCAACACCAACGAGGTTCTGCACTCAGTTCTCTCCTAGGAAACGGCAGCCATGGCAACGAAAGTAGGATTTAAAACTTGCAGCAAATGTGTGTGAGGGGGAGGGGAGGCGGAGGAGGCAGGACGGCTCTTCTTCCTCATCTCTCCAGGCTACTGGTCACCTCTCACTGGAAGCCTTCCCACCCGATGCTGGCTAGGAATAAATTTATAGGGGAGGAAAAGATAGGAAGTATATAGGATTTAATTTATAGTTGTGTGTGTGTGTGTGTACATGTGTGTATACATGCCTTGCTATGCCTCTACAGCCAGGCATGTATATAGATATCTATAAATGGTCTACTTTTAACTATGCAGGGATCAGGTTAAGTTATTTGGCTGGTTTCTCTTCTATTTTAGAGACAGGCCTGTTTTCAGGAGGCTGCCTGGTTCTCTAAAATCTAGGGATTAGCCACCGCTGACCACACAGGGAGCTTCGGGTCATTTGCTTTCCAGTGGTTTTTCCTCTGGATGAAGGCTTTGGTCTGATTTCTGGTTGGTGATTTCTAAGGGCAGAGATAATCACGACAGAATCGAAATCTCTAGAACACTTGGTTTGAGACTTCAGGGCTTCAGACTGTGCTGGAAGGAAGGAGGAAGAAAATGGTTCGTTTACCAGGTCAGCTGTGAGCATAACTTCTGCCCGAAGATTTGGCTCCGCATCCTGAGCTCATCAGTATTTAAATTTGATGGAGATGGTCAAGCCTGCTGGGATGATGGCCATCAGTTTTTCCCTGTCGTAACCTTGAACTCGCGCCCCCCCCCATGCTGCACCTCAGGGGTCCCCCTTCCCAACGTAGCTTTGCACCACAGAAGCGCAGTCTGGCACCCTGTCCAGGGGTGCCTGGACTAACTGGAGCTTGGTAAGGAAAACCTGGCCAGGTTTGGAATGCACTTACTGAGGAGAGCTGTGCTGTCCCTCACCTCCTCTTCCTCCTGCCTCGTCTCTTGGTAGCTGAGTGGGCTGCTGCCTCCGAGGTGTCTGTGGCCTCCAGAGTCATGCACCTGGGAAAGCCCGTGCCAGCCTCCAGCCGACCCAGGACAGTTTCCAAGTAAAGCTACCTTCCCCAGGATGGATGGCCCCCCAGGTCTTCTCTTGCTCCCGCTTTGGACTAAAGATATTCTGCTCAACCAGAATGGTTTTCTTATCTTCACTTTATGAAGGAGGATTTTTCTCAAAACAGCTGTTGCTGCCAGGGGGAGGGAGAGAGGTTTTATTTATTCCCAAAGTTTATACCCAGCCTTTCGACATCAGCTGAATTGCCCTGGAATTGGATCTTCCTTTGGCAAAGTGTCACTAAGCCCGTGTTACTTCTAAGCCTTACTTCTCTGCTGCTGGAGCCGAGCCTCTCCTTGAATTTGTTCGTTTTTTTTTCTTAATTAAAAAATAGGGGGGTAAGGAGGGGGTCCAGAGGGAAACATACCAGCTGTTCCAAACTGATGACTGTGCTCAGCACCCTCCACCCAGAGAGACCTCAGTGGAGGGGAACTCGAGAGCAGCCTCGGGCCTGCAGAATGCCCCCACTTAGCTAGTGACCCAGCCCCTCCACCCTCTACCCCATGAGTTCTCTGAGTAGCTATCCATGGATGGTATACACTCGGTGCAATAAAGCATAGATCCTGAAGAATAACCACAGAGGCTGAATTAGAATTATGAAATTGTACATCTATAAATGTTTATAATGTGAGAAACCAAAGTGTGTTTTGGTGTGTACTGAGCTCGTGGGATTTATGATCAGTCCCCAGTGACCGAGATAAAAACACCTAATGCAGTCCACCTCAGCCAGTTGTAAAGAAAATGCTTTATGACTGAGAAAATGGAAGGATTGAGTGTCAAGGAGCTAGTCGGGCAAGAGCATTGTCATGCCCCTGGAAAGCTAGTGCTTGAAAATGCATGGGTGTGCCTAGGCTAGAGGATAAAATAAATACCTCCTCATCATAGAGAGTGGAATCTTTGGGGATTAAACATGCACGGTCCCAAAAAGGAGGTACCGTGCCCCATCTGTTGCCACTGAGGTCACCTTGCCAGCCCACCCCAGCCCTGCTCTTGTTGAACAGCACCTGGGGAGCTGACAAGCAGCCTGAGTCTTTATTTTATGCAACAGGCCATAATTTCCTCAGCCTTGGTAATTTGACTGCTAACTGGAGTCACTCCATTTTGAGAATTGTAATGTCCAGCCCAGCTCAGTACAGAAAGAGGGACAGTCACCCTTTAGCCTACTGAGTGTCTTGAAATTCTCTTTCGGGTCTTTTCTGCCCAGTTGGTGGGTAGGAATGTTCCTTTCTTTGTGAAGGTAAAGTCTCTGAGGAGGTAAGGGGAAGGGGCTTGAAAAGGACCGGGCAAAATTCCTCCCAGAATCTAGTAGGTGGGTGGGCAGGCCAGGCCCCCATCTTCCCAAGGAAAGGCACCAGGGCAGTTCCACCTGTGCGGAGGGCCTGAGCCCTCTCAGAGTCGGGGTCGACTGGCTGGAGGGGGCCCCGCTAGAACCCAGCAGAACACAAGGCTTTCTCGAGCGAGCGTCGAGGTTTATTGGAATGAACCGGCCGGCCTCGGCTCCTGCCTTGCACCCTCCACACCACCACGGACAGCCCCCAAGACCTACCAGGGCCTATCTGTTAAAAACTCTACCATCGCTCCTAAACCGGCCCTACGGAGCCAGGAACCCACGATGCCTCGGGCTAAACACCCCAGTGCATTTAACACATCCTGGAAAGTGGCGGGCTCCCGGCCCCTCATTTCTCAATTAAAGGCACCGATATCTGTTTCTTTCTACTCCCTCCATTTCCCCTCCCCCTCCTGCTCCTTTGGATACGCTGGGCTTCGAGGGCTAACCCCCAACCCAGAGTAGAGACAACCTTGGGATTTCTTTCCCAGTCTCTCGCTGGCCCGGTGGGAGGACCCAGAGTTCTCTCCTGGCCCCTCCCCTCCCTGAGCTGGCTCCGAGAAGTTCCGAAAAGTAACAAATGTTGCAACCTGAGCAAGCGATTCATATGAATGGAGCTGCGGCAAAATCTGCCCCGGGCTCCTGGAGACCGGAGCCATCCCGGACCGGGGGCTGCCAAGAAGCCCCGCCCCGCGCCCGCGCTGGCCAAAGAGACGTCGGAGCAGCGATCTGGCCACCGCCAGGGCCAGCTCTCATTGGCCAGAGCGTCTTCCAGGCCCCCTCCCCCTCCCTCCAGCGCACAGCCACAGGTCCCCGGGGAGGGGGGTGCGGGAGGAGGTGGGAGGGGACCGGCTTGGTTGCTGGGGGAAGGTGGCAGGGTTTGGAGGCAGGACCTCTTTCTCTGGGCAACAGCCTCTCCCTCACCCCGCAGTGCACGGCCATAGGTCCCCACGGGGGCAGGAAGAGGTGGGAACCGGGTAAAGGTGGCAGGCCCTCCCCCTCCCAGCCTCCTGCACATCATCAGGTGGGGGTGGGGGTGACCGGAGGAGGTGGGAGGGGACACGGCTGGTTGCTGGGTGAAAATGGCAGGGACTTGAAGACTGGACCTCTTTCCCTAGGCAACCACCCTCCCCCAAACCCTTGTGCACAGTCCCCACGTGGGCAGGAAGAGGTGGTAGACCGGGTAAAGCTGGCAGGCCCTCGTCCCCCACCCCCATGCACACCCACAGGTTGGGGGTGGGGTGACAGGGTTGGTTTCTGCGTGACGCTGTCAGGGTCTAGAGACAGGATCTCTTTCTGAGGGCAACCACCCCTCCCCCACCTCCCATAGTCGTGGGTTCCTACGGGGACAAGAGGGGGCAAAATATCTAGTACTTCTCCCTGGAACCCCACCCCCTCCCCAGCCTCAGTGCACAGCTTAGGTGAGGAAGCAAGTCTCATTGCCAAAGAGAGGTTGGCACTTTCCCGGAGCCTCAGTTCGGGACCACAGGCACCCACGTGGGGCAGGAGTCCTAAGGGTGCCAGCCCTATCACTTATGAAGGGGCTGGTGGCCCGCTGACCCCCTTCTCCAGGACTTTTTCCGGACACGGGTCACTTCCGCTCCAGCTGCAGAAATCCTGATAGTTCGGGGTAGAAAGAAGATGCAGATCAATGAGTGCCCCTCCCACTATCCATTGGTCAGGAGAGCGATTTAGTCCACTGAGGCTTCCTGGGAATCTGCCTTCCATAATCTCATCTGTCTCCTGTCTGGGAATTCCTCTCGTCTAGGGAAGAAAAGTAAATGTGGCACTTGAAACCACACTCCCCTCCTCTCCCCCTTCCCCCAAAGGCCGGGGCAAAGTCGCCTGTCTGCCTGGGCCTTTATCCACTGGTTTTATGAACTGGGCTCAGGGCCCAGATGTCTGGGGCCAGGTACACAAGAAAGTAATTCGAATACTTAGGTCAATACTGTTTTTACATGATATCACCATTGCTGTCAACTCTGGGCACTTCCCTGAATCACTGCCACGTGATGTCACAGATGTCATAGTTTTAAACTGAAGTAGGCCATTTCCCAAATCAGGAAACTGGGGCTCATGGGAAGGTAGCTGTTTCATAGGAGGGACTCAGTGAGATTTGACGAAAGGATTATGGGTCAGAGTTTAGGATGACTGCCCAATCACCATCAACAAATACCTCAGCCGTTGTAATAGGGAAAGAGAAAAAGTCCAGCATCATCAATCTCAAAGCAATCTAGCCCAGAGCTATCATTTCACAAAGACCCAGAGAGGATCCATATATAGTGATCTGCAGGGCTGAGATTCGAACCCAAATCCTCTGACTGCAAATTCAGGTCTCTTTCTGTAGAGCCCTTGGTATGATGGAAAGGACACCCAACTTTGAATCAAGAGGACCTTGAATCTCAGCCTAATGATAAAAGGTGTAAGTCTGGAAGACCTAGGTTTGAGAACTATCTCTGATACCCTCGTGGGCATGGGAAAATCACTTCACCTCAGTTTCTTCATCTGTGAAATGGGGAAAATACCCATTCCCTACCCGATTGGACTCTTTTAGAACTCCAATGACAATGTACATAAAGTACTTTGCAGACTTTTAAGTGCTGTGTAGTGTCTGTTATTAGTATTAGTTTATGACCTTGGGCAAATTACTTAACCTTTCAGGGCCTACAAAATGAAAGGGTTAGTATATTCCTTAAGGTCCCACCAAAGGGTAATAAGGTATTGGAATTCTAAGGGATTTTGAGGTACTTGGAAGTCTGGTATAGTGATTAGATCAAATAATGAGCAGCAACCAGAAATGGTCTCAGAGGCCCCTTCCAGTGAGAACATTCCTTGAGAACACCAAGGGCAGGAGACCCGTCAGAGCTGTCCCACCCGAGATCCCACTTTGGGTCTGGAGGTCAGATCCCTTTATTAATTGTTGTTTACAGCTCAAAGACATCTGTGGGCAGCTCTACCCAGCTCTGCATCTCTCTGTCACACCCAGACGACTTTGGGAAAAGGAGCAAAGGACATGGAGGATGGTGCTTGCAAACGACAATCAATCCCAGATAGCTCATGTGGGCAAACAAGGTTTGCTGTGCCCCTGCTTCCCTGTAAGGTAGGACCCCAAAGCATGATTACAATCTGTTGGCAGATGGAGAAACCAAGTCTCAGAATGGTGCTGGCTCAGGGTCACAGCTGAGAATTTTACCCAGTGCACCAAATCTAGACAGTACTGACAGCCCTTTGTAATCAGTCCTTTGGTAGCAGAGAAACAACCCAATTCCATTGGATGAGCATTTATTAAATGCCTACTATAAGAGGCACTCCGGTAGGCACAAAGACAAAAACGAAAGTCCCTGTTCTTGGGGAGTTCACTAGTTAGTCAACCCAGTGAAAAGAGAAAGCTGCCAGGAGCTGCCCATCTTGTGCCTCTAACTGGTACCCCAGACCACCTGTCCCCCCATTTAGGAATGTGTCCCGTTATCCCTTTCCTGTTCGTGGTGCCTGTCCCAGGTAGGAAAATTCCTAGTTCTAGCCCCTGCTCAGGTCATCTAATTCCAATGTCATACTTGGCTCCTTCCTTATACCGTTGGTAACTGACCTTTCTGAGTGGGAAGATCCCTTTTCATAACTTCAGTTTCACAAACACATGTATGCTATGGTGGAATTGTTATTTGTGTAAGGAAAGACTGGCTGGATTTCACCCCAACACCTAGGTTTAATCTATTCCATAGGTCATTAGGAAAGGCACACCCAAAGGAAGTGATAGCCCAGGGAGATGTGAAGGGAACTAAGGAGGGAGAGAAAACCAGGCCTAAGGACCCAGCCTGAGTGAAGGCACAGGAAGGGAGCAAGGAAGAGATGGGAAATGGAAGATGAAATGTTGGGTGCAGAGAACAATTAAGCCAGTTCTCTGAGAACACCCAGTAGCTGAAGGGGTTAATGTGTAAGGTATAATAAGGCTTACAAAGGCTTGATCAAAACATCAGAGGGCTTCAACTACTCAACAAATACCCATTGGAGAGATGGTTAGAAGGATGGATGTTTGGATGGATGGATGGATGGATGGATGGATGGATGGATGGATGGATGGATGGATGGACGGATGGATGGATGGATGGATGGATGTTTGGATGGATGGATGGATGATGGATGGATGTTTGGATAGATGTTTGGATGGATGGATGTTTGGATATTTGGATGGATGGATGTTTGGATGGATGGATGGATGGATGGATGGATGTTTGGATGGATGGATGGATGTTTGGATGGATGGATGATGGATGGATGTTTGGATAGATGTTTGGATGGATGGATGTTTGGATATTTGGATGGATGGATGTTTGGATGGATGGATGGATGGATGGATGGATAGATGTTTGGATGGATGGATGGATGGATGGATGTTTGGATGGATGGATGGATTGTTGGATGGATGGATGAATGATTGTTTAGGTGGATGGATGGATTGATGGATGTTTTGATGGATGGATGGATTGTTGGATGGATGGATGGATTGTTGGATGGATGGATGAATGGTTGTTTAGGTAGATGGATGGATTGATGGATGTTTGGATGGATGGATGGATGGATGGATGGATGGATGGATGGATGGATTGTTGGATGGATGGATGAATGGTTGTTTAGGTAGATGGATGGATGGATGGATCAATGGATGGATGGATGGATGGATGTTTGGATGGATGGATGTTTGGATGGATGGATGGAAGATGGATGTTTGGATGGATGTTTGGATGGATGTTTGGATGGATGGATGGATAGATGGATGGATGGATGGATGGATGTTTGGATGGATGGATGGAAGATGGATGTTTGGATGTTTGGATGGATGTTTGGATGGATGGATGGATCGATGGATGTTTGGATGGATGGATGGATGGCAAAAGAAAGGAAAGAGGGAGGGAAGGAGAGAAGGAAGAAAGGAGGGACAGAGGGAAGAAGGAATCATTATACTCCTGGCCTTTTGCTCTGCGTTCTTCTCCTACCATCCTCACCACCATACCCTAACCTCTCAAAATTCTTTCAAACTCTTCTACGTTCTGCTGTTCTAGGATGAAACACTGAGGCTGGGGAGCTGGGTTGCAAAGGGGCCTGGACTGGTAGTGCTAGTCCCTTACAACATGCCCCACTCTGAGCCCAGGTCTGAAGCTGGCATCCTGCCACTCCCAAAGACTTGGTCTGGGCTAATCCAGCTGCCCCAGTCCAGGCAACCTCTGGGCTCACATCTGAATTCTCCCCCACCCACATCCCTGGCTTCCCTCCTGGCCTAAACAGTTCTCTCTGGCAGCAGCATGTATCATCCCAAGGTTGCCCAAGACCAGCCCCACCTCCCCACCTCCCCACCCTCAAAAAAAGTATCTGTTGAATTTTCAATGGGGAAGTTTGAGATTTCGCTGAGATTTCTGGCTTGAACTTGAAACTTCTGGCTCTGGAGCTCAGGATCTTCATGCATGCATTCGTTCATTCATTCATCTATTCATTCACCTATTGTGTACCTACCAAGTGAAAGACTCCTTGCTGGGGCTATGGGGAGCAGAAGGCCAGCAATAGAATTCAATCCAATGTATAATTATTAAGCACCTACTACAGGCAAGGCAGAGATGCAGGATGGCCTGACAAAGAGCCAGCTCCAAGCCTGGAGGACTTGGCTTCTATTTCGCCTTCCACACATACACTGACCCTGGGCAAATCACCAGCCCTCTTAGTGTGCCCCAGGCGACCCCCAGGATCATGGACTTAGGCCTGAATGGATCTTAGAGGCCACTGAGGCCACACCCCCATTTTGCAGATAAAGAAACAGACCCATAAATAATACGGTTTTCCCGGATCTTGTGGCTAGTAAGTAAATTCAAACTCAGGTTTTCCTAACTGCAAGCCCAGCACTAGCCACTTCCTGGGCTAACTCCCCCTAAATTTAAGAACAGTTGCCTGTCTGTACTGGTAGAAGGGAGTCTCCTCACCACGCATTCCCTGGCCTGGAGCAGAGTAAATCACTGTGCTGGACACCCTGAAGAGCATTCTCCATGCTGCGGATAAAGCGGCAGATTTGGCATCCAAAGGACCCGTGTCAGCTCTCGCTTACAATGCTTAGTGGCTATATGGCTATGGGCCAGTCATCTAACCATGCTCGGCCTTTGTTTGTTCTTCTGTAAAATGTGGATAATAATAGCCCCATACTCATAGAGCTATAGGTGGCCCAGTGGAATCAGGAAGACCAAAGTTCAAATCCAGCCTCAGACACTTACTAGCTGCATGACCCCGCTCAAGTTACTTAACCTCTATTTGTTTCAATTCTTCATCTGTAAAATGGGACACTCTAGAGAAGAAAATGGCAAAATAACTCTAGTACCTTTGCCAAGAAAATCCCATGGACTTGTCCATGGGGTCATGATGAGTCAGACACAACTGAACAGCAGCAACAGAGGTGGTTATTATTATTTGTCCTTCATTTTGGAAAAGGACATGACATCAGGGAGGTGATGCCATGACTTGCAAGTGAATTGGATTATAGTGAGGGAGGGCTGTGCAAAATCACCAGCCTCACTTTCTCCTCTGGAGCCATCTGGGTCCAGTGGCAAGATACAGATCAGGACGACTGGAAATGACCCTGAGCAGCAACACAAGACTAGCTAGGATGAAATAAGTTTAAGCAGGTAAAGAGCTTTTTTTTTTAAAGGCAATTGGGATTAAATGACTTGCCCAGGGTCACACAGCTAATAAGTGTCAAGTGTTTAGCCACCTAGCTGCCCCAAGGTAAAGAGGTTTTACAAACCTTAAAGAGCCATATCATTGTGAGTTATTGTTGGGCACTGGGGATACAAGGACAAAAACAAAGCAGGCCCTGCCCTCAAGGAATTTACGTTCTGCTATAGGATACCCAGCATATACACAGATAAGTGTGAGAGGAAGTGGAGTGTGATGAGGGGGCATCAGAGAGAAAGAATGAGACAGAGAGAAAGGAGAGAAAAGAAAGAGAGAGGGGAGAGACAGAGAGAGTGAGGGAGGGGAAGGAAGGGAAGATGAAGAGAGAAGAGACAGGGAGAAAAAAGGGAAAAGAGAGAGAGGAGAGAGAAAAAAGAGGAGGCACAGCGAAAGAAGAGAGACAGGAGGGAAAGAAAAGAAAGACAGAGGAGAGAGAGGGAAGGGAAGAGGGAGAGAGGAGAAACAGAGAGAAGAGATCCTGGCAAAGTAAAAGGGAAAGATGGCTTTCAGTTGAAGGGACCAGTACAGGTATTTTGGAGGTGTCACCCAAGCTGGGTTTTAAAGATACGGTCTGCAGTCCCAAGGAGTTGATGGTCTAGTGGTGGAGACAGAACGATGCCAATCACTATAAGGCCAGACAGGATGGGATAAATTCCAGGAAAGACACAAACCATGACCCACTAGCAAGAAGTTAACTTCCCATCCTTTGCCTCAGGCCTAAGGGTAGTGATCACTCAATCAATAAAATTTTATTATGTGCCTACTGTATGCCAAGCACTATACTAAGCTGGGGGTACAAAACAGTCCCTGCATCAAGGAACTTAGAATCTATGTAGGATCTCAAAGTACCCAACTCTAGCTTTAATAACACTGTGGAGAATTAGGTGGTGGAAAAGTTGGCCTTCATGCCCAGAAGAGGACCAAGATTGAACTAACTAGTGAGAAACAGAAGGAAGGCTCAGGACTGATCCTTCAGGGGAGGGGTGAGCCCTTTCAGCTTCTTGGCTTAGCCAGCCCACAGCCTGTCCATCTATTTCTACAAGCATCCAATGTATTTCTGTAGTGTTGTGTTTCCACTTTACACTAGCCCAGACCACTTACAAGTGCCAACCCCTCACTCTCTCAGCCCTTCTGTGACGGGGGCACTGTTGTCTGCTTTGAAGATGGATTTAGAAAGGATTTGCCAGACATCAGCTATTGAATTCTAGAGCTGGAAGGAGCCTGTAGAGATCATCTCACAGGCCCACGAGCTGGCCAGCCATACTGTCATAGCTCTGGAGCTGGAAAGGACCTCAGGAGGCAGTGAATCTAACCTCTTCTTTTCACAGTCAATCAATAGACATCTGTTGAGCACCTACTGTGTGCCAGGCACCGTACTCAGCACTGGAGAGCATGAAACCAAGGTCCAGATGGCAGGA